TAAAATCTGTATTTGAAAGACTTGAAAAATATAGTTTGAATATTAAACATAGTACATGCATTTTTGGAGCAAATAAATTAGATTTTCTAAGTTATGAAATTTCAAGTGAAGGAATCAGACCTTCTGTCGAACGAGTTGAAGCAATAGTAAATTTTGAAACACCACTTTCAATAAATAAATTACAACAATTTTTGGGCATGGTTAATTATTACCATAGATATGTTAAAATATTAGCAGCAGAACTTAGTCCTCTGCACGAAATGTTAACATTAGCAACTAAAAATAAACTTAAACAATTAAATTGGGCAGAAAATACAACTAGGGCTTTTGAAAATGTGAAGAAACTTTTTACACAGAAGACTTTACTCACTCATTTTGATAAAAATTGTTTAATTATCACTTGCTGTCGATGCATCAAATTTAGCAGTCGGTGCGGTTTTACAACAAATGAGTAATAACACTTTGGAACCACTTGCATATTTTTCAAGAAAATTATCCCCTACAGAAATTAATTACTCCACATTTGACAGACAACTTTTAGCGATATACAATTCAATTAAACATTTTCTAGGATGTAGAACATTCACTGTTTATACTGATCATAAACTTTTAACACATATACTAAATTCTAAATCAGACAGATCATCTCGACAAATTCGACACTTAGAGTACATTGCACAATTTACAGACGACATACAATATATTTCTGGAAAAGAAAACATAGTTGCTGATACGTATTCCAGATGTTTACATGATTTTAGCCCAAGACATAAATTTTCAAACATTATTCGAGGAACAAAAAGATCAAACACTTTATGACATAATATCTGACCAAAATTCCAACAGTAATTTAAAAGAACCTTTTAGACCATTAGTTCCCAATTCTATGAGAAAAATCATTTTTGATAAAATTCATTCTTTATCACATCCAAGTGTACGTACAACTAGGCGTTTATTCAATCAAAATATTTTTGGCCTAATATGCGCAAAGAGATAAATAATTGGACTTCTACTTGTATAAGTTGTCAAAAATTAAAAATTTCTAAACATACTAAGACGCCGTTGCAAAAAATTAACATATTCATATGGATATTGTTGGTCCATTACCTGTGTCAAAAGAAAGTCGTTACATTTTAAATATCATTGATAGACATACACGTTGGCCAGAGGCATATCCACTTAGAGATTTTGGCATTCCACTTTATATAACAATAGATCAAGGATCACAGTTTATATCAAAATTGTTCAGAGAATTAACTAAATTGTTAGGATCACACAAAATTCATACGTCCCCATATCATCCTCAATCAAATGGAATGATTAAAATATTTAATAGAACATTAAAGACTGCTATTACTGCTTCAGATGATTCTACCCACTGGTCTGAAATTCTTCCTTGGATATTATTAGGACTACGTACGTCTATTAAAGAGTATTTAAAATGCTCTTCTGCAGAATTAGTTTATGGACAAACATTAAGATTACCAGGTGAATTAGTTGTTACGAAAAGTTATAATAATGAAGTTAATAATACAGACGAAACTCTTTCTAAGCCAAGAAAATATTTTTCAAATGTTAGATCAAACAATAAAGAATACTCTTTTGTTCCGAAAAATTTGGATACTTGTGAGTACGGTTTTGTTAAAGTTATTCACAAGTCAAATTTGCAATCACCTTATGAAGGACCATTTAAAATTATTTCGAAAAATGACAAAGTATTCAAAATTCCACATGGAAATATGATTAAAACGGTTTCAATAGATTTGCTCAAACCTGCAAATATAATTTCTGATACAACAAAAAAATCTAATTCACTAACAATTCCAAGTACAAAAAGGAAAATAACATTTAACATTAATTAATTTATTGTTTTACTGGAGGGCGAGTATATATAGGGTATTTTACCTATATGTTTTTATACTTGTTTAAATTCTTTATGTTCAATTTATGGTTCAATGAATTTGTTTGTTATCAAAAAGAAAATTTTTGATTATTCAATAATAAACTTTCAAACAAGAAGGAAATACTATTTTTTAATTTGATACCATAACACGATATAGAGAATATTACTTAGTGAGGGTTATAACACGTAAGCGCGGCCTATCCAAAAAAAGGTTTTGCGCAAAAATGCTGTGGATAGCGTAGCTGGCATTGGTCCGACCAGGGTTATTTTTTGAAATACTCCTATTTTCGAGGATTAAACACAACATGTTGTATATCAATCGAAAGCTTGAGGTGTGCACTATTTATTATAAGATTTTTAACTGTAATTAATAGGCACTTTTTAAAGAAAATTGTGTTTGTTTAAAATTGTTTGTAATTTTTTTACATAAATTGGATTTTTGCTAAAACTTAAGAAGTTATATGTGTAGGGTATTTTACCTGTATGTTTTTTATACTTGTTTAAATTCTTGATGTTCAATTTATGGTTCAATGAATTTGTTTGTTATCAAAAAGAAAATTTTTGATTATTAAATAATAAACGTTCAACATATAAAAACTTAAAATTTAAACCAAATATATTTACTTATTAAAATATCATATAATTGATATTATCAAAAAGAAAGTTTTGATTATTCAATAATAAACTTTCAACATATAAAGCTTAAAATTTAAACCAAATATATTTACTTATTAAAATATCATTTATATATGTAATTAAAGTCACTCACATTTTCTATTTAATTACATCAAAATGTTTAGAATCCGTGCGATGGGTTTCGAGATATATGAATTTGAAAAAAGCGCTGCATTTGACCTTTGACTTTTCGTAACTACCTTAGGCACTCGGCACATTACGCGCCTAATCAAAGTAGAGTAATCGTTTCATCATACCGAAACGAATGCATGACGACTCGACTTCTGTACACTTGCACGACCTGCATAAGTCACCAGCTAATAAACACTTTCTACACATAACAAATTTTTTGGCCGTTCTTTCGCAACACGCACTTCCGCAAATATTTCTGCTCCGAAATATTGCATAAACGCTTGTGGTTTAATGCAATTTGCACGAAATCGTTCATTTCCAATTATTTTCTTATGAATTGACAAATAAATTTTATTTCAAACCCAAAAAATAAACAAATGACGATTTCAAAACTGCAAGCGCCTTACAATGAATCGTAATATACAGAGCTTCATTGAAATACATGTATTGGGTATAAAAGCTTCATACTTTAGTACGCCGGAACGATTACACTACTATGACTAGGCGTTTCACGATTGAGAGAATACAAAGGTTGCGCCGATCTCGGACCGCTATTCCTCTCTTAACGAATTTGACAGAATCGTTGTTTGCATGACGTCACACTGGTGCAACTTGTTTACGTTTTCCTTGCAACATTTTTTCTTCTTCTTCCATTCTTGCTCACGTTTTGGCATTTCTCTCTCGCAATTGCACCAGTGTGACGTCACACAAAAGTTATTCTCAAAAATCCTCTCTGATCGGCGCAATCTTGTATTCTATCATTCTTGTAGGCGTTTAATGTGCGGAGTGCCTTAGTTGTTGCTTCTGCCTCAGAAAAATTATACCGTTATATTTTTCTCAAAAACCTCTATCGAACTAAATTTTTTGTTGTAATTTTTCCATTGTTCGGATTCTTAACTTGGGTTGGCTTTCCAAAACGGAACCAATCGAGATTTCAGCGAAAGTATATGGAATTTAGTCATGAAACTTGGTCAGGACGTTGGGGGAGGCTTTCTCTGCATGAATATATCACTCTCACAAAGTAGTTGCTAATAGTATTTAAGCAATTTGTTGTTAAATAATCTTCACTACCACCCCCAAATTTTTGTCCAAAATGCCACTTATCAATTGTATTTTGGTTGATATACAATATCTTCATTATTCACGTGCGTATTTTATACTTTTAATAAATATATATTCATCAATTAATTAAGTAAAACGCGTTTATAAATCCGTTAACTCGTTTTACCACTTTTCACAAACAAACAGAAATAACAATGGCCGACAGTAAGAGCAAATGTGTGCTGCCATACTTCTCGAAGCTATAAAATACAACTATAAACCATATCATTTTCGTTTTTGATTTATTATAAAATCGATACTTCGATAAATAATAAAAATTTTTATAAAAAATCGGCTGCGGCGCTTTTTATTATAAAATCAAAACTTCGATAAATAATGAAAATTTTTAATTAAAATTCGCGCGATTTTTTAAGAAAAATTTTAAACCGCGGCGCTTTTTATTATAAAATCGATAATTCAATAAATAATGAAAACTTTTAATAAAAAATCGCGCGGTTTTTAATTAAAAATTTTCGCCTGCGGCGCTTTTTATTATAATCTCGATACTTGATAAATAATGAAAATTTTTAATTAAAATTCGCGCGATTTTTTATGAAAAGTTTTTGACCGCGGCGCTTTTTGTTATAAAATTGATACTTCGGTAAATTATGAATCGCGCGATTTTAAATTAAAAATTTTCGCGAGTTTCATTTTNTTTCACTCTTGGTTTCCATGGTTTTACTATGGGCGGATGACGAATTTTCGGGTGAATTTTTTTTTAGGCGAAACTCAGGATAAGGCAGATTGTTTCCGTTTTGTGTTTTTTTTGGCATTTTCTACCAATACAGCACCGACATTTCAGTTCAGTTGGTGTACAAGGGCAAAAGTGAGGTTGAATTCGGTATTTTTTGCAACTTTAAATGCGAATTACTTAAAAACTATAAGCCTCCGGAGGGCGGGGTCTTCAGATCTGAAAAAGCTCCTCTATACTCTCTAATATTTTGTTTTTTCCAAAGCCTGGATCCGTTTTGGAGACCTTTCCCCTTAACTTGTTTCTATTTAAATAAAACATGTGAAATTTGATTAAAACAGTTGTGGTTTTTAGTCGGTTAATTTTTGCCAATTTAGCCGGTTGGTCCAAAAGCTTCTGGCAACACTGTTCCTATAACACAAGCAATCAACATAACCTCACATAAGCACACGTTCATTGTTAAACAATAAATGACATTTGTTGTTTTCCCACCCACAGGCAAGGACGTGTCAATCAGCAGCAACTTCAACAAAACCTGGGTCAAAATCTAAGCAGCAGCAAGACAGTATATCACTGCGGCACTTATATTACGAATAGCAATAGCAGCCATAACCAAAATAATCAGCAAATGCAGAATAATTGTGTTTCGACTTCACCGCTCACTCATCACACCTACTGGCAGTCATCGTCAGTACCAGTAGTACCAGCCGCGCCAACTGCCACTGCATCGGTGACAACAAATTCAAGTCATCAGCAACCGCAATATATTAAACATGCTCGATCATCGCCACGTCCGTCCCAGTCGACCGCTCCATATCCATCGCCAACGTACCATCACAATTATAGCAGTAGCCCGAATACGTGCATAAGCAGCAATGGCAACGGCAGTACCACTAGCAACACATGCAGCAATCAAAGCAATTCCATCATACCCAATAACAGTGCCAACAATATGCTCCAGCAACTGTCTCAACAAAATGTCACGGTGACGGCGCATAACAGTGCCCATCACAACCAGCAGCAAGAACATCAACAAGTACCGGCAGTAACTATCACGCCAAATTATCCAAGCCATCAGCAGCAACAACAGCAATCGCAACTACAGCACATTCATGGTCATCAGCAAACGACGCATTCAAACACTGCCGAGCGCTATAGTGACACTCCCCACCACACATATAAACCACCTACCGCAACAGCAACAACAGGCATCTCATCACCATCAACAGCAGCATGCACAACATGTAGCAGTTGCCACAACAACTAAGCACTCACCGAACTCACCAAATAGACGCACTCGAGGCGAGAACAAGAAGTGCCGCAAAGTATATGGTATGGATCGTCGTGATCAATGGTGCACTCAGTGTAGGTGGAAGAAAGCTTGTAGTCGATTCGGTGACTGAAAAAGGCCCAAAGCGTCGGCGACCACGGAAACGGCGGCGACGGCGACAGCGACAGCGACAGCGGTAGCAGCGAAAATTACTTCAACAGCAACGACAGAGCTAGCAGCGGGAGCTAAATTAAAGTCTCTAGCAATAGATTTGGGAAGCACAGAAACACAGGTAGCGTCAACCTATTTCAATACAAAGTACAAGCGAACATGCTGCAACTATAATCTTGGCCATAATTCCACCAGAAATACTATTAATAAATACAAGTGTTCGGCAGCTTCTGTACCAGCAACTGCCGTAGCCACCTCCGTTATTGTGAAGCCACTAAATAATTTAAGTAAAATCTCTGCTAGCAAGAACTATCAAAACACTGCCAGTGGCAGCAAAATTATCCATGCGCCGTTGAGTGGCAACCATAAATATGGTGCAAACACGGATGCTGATGTACACTTGCAACTGCAACAACAAACACAGGTTGTTACAACTGCCAATAACAGCAACATCAATATCAACAATCATTTGCTACCCGCTACAGTCTCAA